TCAGGTCAACTAACGTTTATTCAACAAAAATTTAGTGAGATTTCACTTCACAACCTATGTGAGAGCTTTTGATTCTTACCAGCCTGTAGGACAGCTAATACTTGATAAATGCTATAAATAGAGGATCAAACATTTCTGCTAGGGGTTGGTTTTCCTAATTAAAACCAGAGGAAATTAGTTTATTAGTGAACACTGTTTTCACCGCAGACCATTGTGGTACCAACCTAGAAACTAGCATCAAGGGCAGGAAAATAATGCTGTTGCTGAATTTTGTGTTTCCAGCTATGGCATTGAGTTGGCTTTGTGCTTTGGCTATCATGCTAGTGGCTGCTGAAGGTGGTGGGGATATGTGAGAGGGATGTTTAAGGATAAAGTTGATGACAGGAAAATAAGATCTGCCTTCTTGAGGAAAAACCAGATTGATGAAATGCCATATCTACCAGTGATATTATGTCACTGCATCCCTTACTGCTATCAGGGCAATGATTTTATGAAGAATATTGTACTTCTGTGTAGTCAAGCATTTTCTATAGCGTGGCCATATGGCTTATACCAATGTATTTAGAAATTATGACTTTTTTCTATTAGAGGATCTGTGATTCTTCAAAATCCTCTGCTCAAGACATTTGAGCAATGGGAAATGATTGCAGTATCCAGTTGGCATTAGCTGTTTGAATCTGAATGTCCCTATAGCCATTTCTGCTATTAACACTTGTATTGACATCATTGATAATACTAGGAAAAATTTAGGCATAAATGTATTTGTTTCATACTCATTTAATATGTGGAAAACTGTGCTACTTTTTAAATTAGGTTCCTGGTGTGTGTGTGTATGTGCGTGTGTGTGTGTGCATGCACATGCCATAGGTGTTTGTCCCATGTTTACATAGGTTTGCTCCATGTTTTCTGTTGTGTGACTTAGGCATAGTGTGGTGATGATTTTTGGAATGCAAGTGTCTATTTATAGTAAAATTGTGTCTCCTTGAACAAATCTGTGTTGGTCTTTTCTCTTTTCAGTTTAAGTTTATATAGTCCATCCAATTTGCAGAAGCCAGTATTTGGAAAAATGCTTCTCAATGAATTATGAGAATTGTATTTTTCCTTTCGGTGCAGGTGTTGTGATATGCCAAGTTAGCTCAGTATTTCCGATTTTATACCAGCTTCTCTAGTTCCTTACTGGCAGTTGATTTATTCGTTGTACTAGTGAATTAGGTAGTTCATGGGTACTAGTGAATTGGGTCATTTTCCTACATTAAAATTTTGTGACGGACTGTAACTTGGATAAGGTTCCAAATGCCTCATGATGAACTACTTTGAATTTCTCTAAACTTCTGTCACTTAAGGTTCAGTACATTGCTTATCTTCTTTGTGTTTATTATGCTATGAAGAAGACCTGGTATTGTTTATGGCATGAAATACATATTTGCAAGTGGTGTGTGATTTATTTATTTATTATTTATAAATGAATTATTTGAAAAAGCTTAGTTATCTTTCTTTGAGGGCTTTCTTCTACTTCAGTGGTGATTTGGGCTTAAGTTAAATCTTTTGCATTTCTAACATGATGTTCATGGATCAAGGAGCTGTAGCAAGTTTCTATTGTCTTCCTTATATCTAACTTGTAATACTTACCTTTCCCTCAGATTCTATTCCTCATTGCAATCAATTAGTAGCTGTGCTGTGAATTAGTAAAAATATGAGAGATAATAATGCATATTTTGACTTGAATGTGCGCTTTAATGTTTTCTTTGTGGAAATACCTTTATTCTGATTCTAGCACATAATTTGAAGTTGTAGATTTCTTTTAACTTTCTCTTCAAAAGAGAAAGTATCTTAGTCAATTGTACGTGTTGCAAAGAGAGGTATTACAGTGATACCTTAAAAATCTATTAAAATCGGGGCCAGTGCCATAGTGCAGTAGGTTAATCCTCTGCTGGTGGCACCAGTATCCCATTTGGGTGCCAGTTCAAGTCCCAGTTGCTCCTCTTCCAATCCAGCTCTCTGCTGTGGCCTGGGAAAGCAATAGAAAATGGCCCAAGTCCTTGGGCCCCTGCACCCATATGGGAGACCTGGAAAAAGCTCCTGGCTCCTGGTTTTGGATAGGCCCAGCTCCAGTCACTGTGGCCGTTGCAGGAGTGAACCAACGGAAGGAAGACCTTTCTCTCTGTCTCTCCTTCTCACTGTCTGTAACTCTACCTCTCAAATAAATAAATAAAATCTTTAAAAAATTTATTAAACTCTTTTATTATTCATAGAACAAATATTAAACGCCTACTATGTGTTACATAACTTTAGGCTCTGGAAAATGTTATAATGAGCAAAAATATAGTCCTTCCTCTTAATGTAGTAGGGGGAGGGAATAAGTACTATGAAGAAAAAGTACAAATTTGAAAGAGAAAACCAGAGATCAATTTGGATGAGCAATTTTAAAGAGGCCTTTCTGAGGAGGTGGCGTTGAAACCGAGATCTGCAGGAGAAGGAGTTTACCGGAAGGGAAAGGGGGTGGAAGGATTTCCAGGCAGAGGCGAGAGGTTTTGTGATATCATTTTATAGTACTTATGACCTTTTTAGATGCTTATATAATTAGGTACTAGTCTATGAGCTAGACAGTTTATAGGACTGTGTTACTGAAAAGATGCATATAAATTACATTTTTATAAATGAATTCCTGAATTCCTGCAGGCTTACATTATGTTCACTGTGCTATATCATCTGCATTTGATTGATGTTCAGTTGCTTCAATTATTGCTAGATTGATCTTTCTATAGCACAACTTCGATGATGCCTTTTCCTGCTCAGAAATCTTCTCCAGCTCCCCAATTACCCAGTAAAATCCAAACTAATCCCCTTATTGTCAGGCCCTCCCAAATAGGCCCCACTCTCAATATGCTACTTTTAACTTTAGTTATTCCTCTTTCTGCACTACTCTGTCAACCAGCAAAACTTGAGGCTGAGAATGGGTGCTTTGTCCTGTGTTCACTTTTACTCTCCTCATTTCTTCTCCTTTCCACTCTGTTTACGTCTTTCTGAGAATGTCCACATATCATGTGTCTGTCCGGGCCCCTCTCCAGCATTGCCATTCAGTCTCAGGATCTTCTCTCGTCTCCCCAGCTGGAAGTCTTCTCTCTTCTCACTTCTCATGACATTTTATCTTCACTCTTCTTTAGATACTTCTTTTTTTTTTTGCAATTAATATTTTAAGCAAGAAATAATTGTATACATTATGTAGTATATAATGTTATGTTTTGATGGATGTGTACAGTGTGAAATGATTAAATTGAGTTAATTTACATATCTGTCACCTCATTTGTCATTTTTTATGGTGAGATATTTTACATTTACTCTCTTAGTTATTTTGGAACTTACATTATTATTGGTTGTAGGCACCCCGCTGAAAAATAAATCCCAACACTCATTCTTCCTGTCCAACTGATACTTTGTACCCTTTGACCAACAACCCTTTTCTCCCACCCTCCCATCTCTGGTAACCATCATTTTACTTGTGTACAAGTTTGACTTTTAGATTCTACATATAACTGAGATCATGCAGTATTTGCTTTTCTCTTTCTCGTTTCTTTTTTTTTTTTTTTTTAGATTTACTTATTTATTTGGAAGGTAGAGTTACAGAGAGGCAGAGAGAGAGGTCTTCCATCTACTGGTTCACTCCCCAGATGGCCGCAGTGGATAGAGCTGTGCCAATCTGAAGCCAGGAGCCAGGAGCTTCTTCCTGGTCTCCCACGTGGGTGCAGGGGCCCAAGGACTTGAGCCATTTTCTATTGCTTTCCCAGGCCTTAGCAGAGAGCCGGATTGGAAGTGGAACAGCCGGGATTCGAACTGGCGCTCATATGGGATGCTGGCACTGCAGGTGGTGGCTTCACCTGCTAAGCCACAGAATTGGCCCCTCATTTCTTTTTTTTTTTATTTTATTTGTTTATTTGAAAGGTAGAGTTACAGACAGAGAGAGACACAGAGAGAAGGGTCTTCCATCCACTGGTTCACTTCCCAAATGGCCACAGTGCCTGGAGCTAGGCCTGTCCAAAACCAGGAGCCAGGAGCTTCTTCCATGTCTCCCTTCTGAGTGCAGGGACCCAAGCATTTGGACCATCTTCTACTGCTTTCCCAGGCTGTAACAGAGTGCTGGGTTGGAAGAGGAGCAGTTGGAACACAAACTAACGCCCATATGGGATGCTGACGCTACAGGCAGAGGCTTAGCCTACTATGGCACAGCGCCGGCCCCTGGCCTGCTCATTTCAAAATAAACTTATCATAATGTCTTCCTGGTTCATCCACTTTGTTGGAAATGACAGCATTTCCTTCTTTTAAAAGGCTGAATAGTATTCCATTGTATATATGTGAACGCACCTTGATTTATGATGGGGTTATGTCCTGATAAAAACATAATAGGTTGGAAATTTTTAAGTCAAAATTGCACTTAATGCTCCTAACCTACTTAATGTTATACTTATCTGAGCCTCTCGAAATGTGTTCAGAACACTTACATTAGCATAGAGTTGAACAAAGTCATCTAATTCAAACCTTTTTTTTTTTTTTTAAAGATTTATTTGTTTATTTGAAAAGCAGAGTTACAGAAAGGCAGAGGCAGAGGCAGAGGCAGAGAGAGAGAGAGAATCTTCCATTCACTGGTTCACTCCCCAGGTGAATTTTGGCTGGAACTGGGCTGGTCTGAAACCAGGAGCCAGAGACGTCTTTTGGATCTCCCATGTGGGTGCAGGGGCCCAACCCCTTAGGTCATCTTCTGCTGCTTTTCCAAGACACAGCAGAGAGCTGGATCGGAAGTGGAGCAGCTGGGACTCAAACTCGTGCTCATGTGGGATGCCGGCACTGCCGACGGCAGCTTTAGCCACTGCACCACAGTGCTGGCCCCTCAAAGCCTTTTGAAAATAGACTATCTCATACAATTTATTGAATAGTTATATTAAAAATGGCTGGCAATGGGGTACCCTGTAGATTGTTGTTTACCCTGATGGTTATGTGGCTGACAGGGAGCTGTGTCCTGCTGCCCAGAACCTGGAGAGAAAATTGTACCACATATTGCTAGCCCAAGAAGAGCTGAAAATCCAAAGTACATTTTCTACTGAGTATTTATCATTTTCACAACGTTGTAAAGTTGAAAAACCACAAGTACAACTAGGTAAGTTGGGGTCTGTCTGTATATCACATTTTTTAACTGTTCATCTGTAATGATCACTTAAGTTGTTCCTTTATCTTGGCTGTTGTGAATAATGATGCAATGAACAAGGGAGTTTAGATATCCCTTTAGATATTGATTTCCATTCCCAGGAGTGGTATTGCTATGACAGTTCCATTTTTAGTTTTTAAAGGAACCTCCATGTTATTTTGCAGCACAGCTATTCTGATTTACATTCCCGCCAACAGTGTACAAGGGTTCCCCTTTCTCCACTTTCTCACCACCACTTATCTTTTGTCTTTTTGATAATAGCCATTCTAGCAGGTATGAAGGGATAGTTCACTGTGCTTTTAATTTACATTTCCCTAATGATTAGTGATGAGTATTCTTCATGTACTTGTTGACGTTTGTAGTCTTTTTTTCAAAAAATGTCTGTTTAGGTCCTCTGCTCATTTTTGACCACATTATTTTCTTCCTTTAGAGTTGTTAGAGTTGTTTGATTTCCTTACGTATCATGGATGTTAACTTCATTTTCAGTTGATTTTTGATTGTTGTGTGAGATATTCTGCATACGAATAACCAGTTTTTCCAGCACTGTTTATTGAAGAGGCTGTTCTTTCCTCATTGTATGTTCTTAACACCTTTGTGAAAATCTGTTGACTTTAAATGTTTGGGTTTGTTTCTGGGCCTCTACACTATTTTATTAGTCAGTATGTCTTCTTCTTCTTTTTTTTTTAATGTCAGAACCATGATGTTTTAGTTACAACAGTCTTACAATATATTTTGAAAGCAGAGAATATGCCTCTAGCTTTTTTTTTTTTTTTAAAGGTTTTACTTTATTTATTTGAAAGACAGAGCTACCCAGGGAGGGAGGGAAGGAGGGAGAGAAGGGGAGGTGGGGGAGGGAGGAAGGGAGGGAGGGAGGGAGGGAGGGAGAGAGAGAGAAAGAGAGAGATTGGAAGCTTCTATCAATTGTTTCACTCCTCAAATGACTGCAACAGCCAGAGCTGGGCCAGGCTGAAGCCTGGAGCTTCTGTCAGGTCTCCCACGTGGGTGCAGGGGCCCAAGCACTTGGGCTGTCCTCCTCTGCTTTTCCAGGCCCCACCAGCTTTTGTTTTTGGGTTTGTTTTCCCCCTCAAGATTGTGTTGGTGGGGTCGGTGCTGTGGCATAGTAGGTAAAAACCACTGCCTGCAGTGCCAACATGCCATATGGGTGCCGGTTTGAGTCCCAGCTGCTCCACTTCTGATCTAGCTCCCTGCTATGGTCTGGAAAAGCAGTGGAAGATGACCCAAGTGGTTGGGCCCTGCTCCTGTGTGGGGGGAGATCCAGAAGAAGCTCTTGGCTCCTGGCTTCAGATTGGCGCAGCTCCGGCCATTGCAGCCAATTGGGGAGTGAACCAGCAGATGGAAGACCTCTCTCTCTCTCTCTGCCTCTGCCTTTCTCTAACTCTGCCTTTAAAAAAAATAAATCTTTAAAAAATAAATAAAAACAAAAACAACAAAGATTGTGTTGGCCATTTGTCTCCCTCTTATTTAGAAGTTATTTCTAGGTACCTCTTGTCTTCCTAATTAAACTGGTGAGTTTCTTGAGGCCAAAGCCTGGGAAGGATGAGTCTTTGCTTCTCATTGTGCCTAATACAGTCCTCTACGTGTAGTAGGTGCTCAATAAAAATTTGTTGAAGGAATTTGTAAGCTAATTGTTGCTGGCTAGGTAGCCCCTAAAAAGTAGTTAATGATCTTTAAACAAATACATCAAGGAACTGATAATAATATACATAAATCTTTTGTAATGTTAGAATCTTAAGTTCATATTTTCTTACAAAGGGATGCTATTTGATTGGAATATTTATTTGTCTTTTTCTCCATTTCAGTGACACTGAATCACAGAGATTATTTTAGATTCATAAGTGGTGCTGTCATTTCCATTTTTGCCTCTCTTTTGAAGGTTTGCATGCTCATTTAGCTGTAAAAAGGAATGAAAAGAACAAATCAACACCCTTTGTGGGTGTTATTTCCACTTGGGAGAAGTAGATTTGAAAGCATGTCTAGGTAATGTATTTATTTTGATTGTTTGGAGTTTTCCAAGTACATGTGGCTTCAGATGAGCTTGGAATAATCCCAAATAGAATTTCCTTATTCATTGGTTCATTTGAACTTGTATTTCTGATAGACAACTTTCTACCTATAAGTTTTATTAAAAACCATTTCCTTTTGAGAAGTTCTGCCCTTTGCTTCTGTTTGAATAAGTGTCTGAAGAACTTTTAGATTGCTGTTCAGTCTAGAAGGGGTAGATAGGACCTGGTCATGGTTTTAGCTGATGTGATTGTTAGGGTGTTTCTTAATGGAATAACATTATCTCTGGGTAATGTTTAAATATATGGAACAGTAGTTTCTTGCTTGTTTTTTAAAAAAATTATTTATTTATTTATTTATTTGAGAGGTAGAGTTACAGACAGTGAGAGGGAGAGACAGAGAGAAAGGTCGTCCACCCACTGGTTCAATCCCAAATGGCTGCAATGGCCGAAACTGGGCCGATCTGAATCCAGGAGCCAGGAGCCTCCTCTGGGTCTCCCGTGTGGGTGCAGGATCCCAAGCACTTGGGCCATCTTCTACTGCTTTCCCAGGCTATCAGCAGAGAGCTGTATTGGAAGAGGAGCAGCTGGGACTAGAACCAGCACCCATATGGGATGCTGGCATTGTAGGTGGAGGATTAATCTGTTTACACCACAGCCCCAGCCCCAGTGATTTGTTTCTTATAGCAACATTTATCTCCAAAAACAGCTAAAACAAAATATCATAGCAGAATAATATACGAATGTTATGATTTACTTAGTATTTGTAATTTCATTTAACAGATTTAACAGTACTGTTTTGACTAGAAGCTTTTTTTTATAAAGTTTTTTTTTTTTTTTTAAGATTTCATTTATTTGAGAGGTAGAGTTATAGACAGAGGGAGAGACAGAGAACGTTCTTCCATCCACTGGTTCACTGCCCAAATGGCCACAATGGATGGAGTTGGGCTGATTGGAAGTCAGGAGTCAGGAGCTTCTTCCAGATCTCCCACACAGGTGCAGGGGCCAAAGGACTTGGGCCATCTTCTACTGCTCTCCCAGGCCATAGCAGAGAGCTAGATTGGAAGTAGAGTAGCCTGGACTTGAACTGGTGCCTATATGGATTGTCAGCACTGCAGGTGGTAGCTTTACCTGCTGTGCCACAGCACTGGCTCCAAGTAGTGTGTTCTTTAGAAGGAAATCACTTAGGAATTTCATAACTTTATCATTAATTCTGTTGTTCATAAAATTTAACCCTGAAATAAAATATGATTCTGTAAATTGAATACATATGAATTATGGGATGCTTTTTTTCTTTAAATAGGTCGTTAATTTTCCTTACAAAAATATGTATAATAAAACAATTGAAGAATTAAAAATCTATAAAGGAAAGGCTATACATTTAAAAATTATCCATAATTGTTGTCTTTTGAGAGATAGTCATAATTTTAGTATTAATAAAATCAATCTCTAGCTAGGTCACAATTAAGGATATATGTAGGTCTGGGTTTAAAAAAATATAAAAATAGGTTTCTATTCTCCGGGAAGTTTCATATTAGGTTAAATTGGGGACATCAGAATTTTTAAAAATTCCTTTAAGATTGTTTTGAACTGGAAATGTGAATCATTATTTAAAAAGATCATATGGAGGGTGGTAAAAGTACCATCATAAGTAATAAAGTGATCATATGGATAGGATAGAGTGTCTGGTAATAATAACAGATAGAATTAAAAAAGGAATGAATGCTCCAACATGGGAAGCAGTCCACACAGCAGACTCATAAAATTACAATCACTTTAAGTAGCACTCTGACCTCAGAATCAGCTCTTAAGGCATTCTGGTCTGGCTGAAAAGCCCATGAGAACATTTCAGGCATGGAAAACCAAGACACTGTGGCAAAAAATGTCCTACATGAAGTACCTCAGTAGGTGAGACCCCAGTGAAAAGAAGTGGTCATCAAGGAAGGATGTACTTTTCTTTTCTTTTTTTTTTATGGTGAAAAAACACATTTAGAATTAGCCAGCTGGACTCCGTTCAGATGATCCCAATTTTGTTGGCAACGTCCAGAGCGTCATAGTCAGGAGCCAGCCGCACATACACCTTCTTCTCTCCGTCAGGTCTGATCAGGGTGTTGACTTTGGCCACATCAATGTCATAGAGTTTCTTCACAGCTTGTTTGATCTGGTGCTTGTTGGCCTTGACATCCACAGTGAACACCAGTGTGTTGTTGTCTTCTATCTTCTTCATGGCCGACTCCGTGGTCAGGGGGAACTTGATGATGGCATAGTGGTAAAGCTTGTTTCTCCTGGGGGCGCTCTTCTGAGGGTATTTGGGCTGCCGTCGGAGGCGTAGTGTCTTGGGCTGCCGGAAGGTGGGGGACGTGTGGATCTTCTTCTTGTTGTGGCTGTGGACACCTTTCAGCACTGCCTTCTTGGCCTTCAAGGCCTTTGCTTTGGCTTTGACTTTAGGAGGGGCAGGAGCTTCCTTCTTTGCCTTCGGCGCCATCTTGGAGGGTGTACTTTTCTTTAAAGTGAGGAGAAAACTTCCACTTTGCTGATGGCCTAAATACTGATGGAGTTTGTGGATTCAGTAGGCTTCCACAGCCTAGGCAGCTCATATCAAGAGCCTTGGGTGATCACTGAAATCATACATAAAAGTGTTAGTTGTTAAATTAACAACAAGAGTCATTGTGCACTAACTTCCCATGCAGGATCTCTGTCCTCAAAGAGTTGTGTTAAAATTATGTCCAAGTGCTCCCAAAAGATGTGTCATTCTTGGATGTTTCTTTAAAGCTAATAAAGTTTCTAAAAAAAAAAGTGAAATTAACTTCAAGATGCAATGACTTTGAACAGCCCTTATCTCCACTGTTGAGGAACAGCTTTTTTTGTGTGTGTGTGTGCAAATTATCGAACTCTTTACTTAGTGTGGAGCTGGTCTTCTGTGTATAAAGT